CAATGCTTAAAGGTTTACTATCTGGCCCTTTACAGAAAAAAAACACCTGCTGGCTTCTCCATCAAAGAATGCTGCAGCATGCTGACTTGCAATGGTGAGAGTTGTTTCTTCTCCTGGGACTGAAGAGGCACAGGAGGGAGCTGCTGCCAGAACAGGAGAGGGTAGCAGGTGGAGGGAGGCTTCCTGAAGGTGCCTTTGATGCAGGGAAGCAGCCAACCCCTGGCCGCCCTGCAGGGGGAGAGCTGAGAGCAGGGATGCCTTCTGATCTCTGCCAGCAGGTGATCCCCACCTGCTGAACCCACCTAGGAGTTGGACGGTGGGAGAGGTGGAGGATGGTCTGAAGGGGCAAACAGAAGATACCCAACTCAGACACTCAGAGGTGGAAGATGGTATCTTCCATGCTTCCAGCATCTTCCTTTTCCTACTGTTTTCTAATTCCTGCGTGCCTGGCTTCAGATGTAACCGGCAGCGAGACCAGGTGTCAGGCAGCCAGCTGTTAACGTTGAGCATCCTAGCTCTGTGCTGGTTCTCACCATGTCCAACCCCTTCTGTTCTCCTCCAGGGACCTTGTGAGCTAGCTGAGGAATAAACACACTTAGGAGCCCAACTGTGGGCAAGACAGAATTCTAAATGAAAATTAAAATGAGGAAGGACCAATAGGAACCTAAGCTCTGTGGCCAGCAGAGCAAAGGGTCAGGGGACGGGGCCAATTGGATGTGAGAGAGTCCTGCAAAGGTGGCATGGGCTGGAACTCTTGGGGAGGGCGTCATGGAGGAGGTGGCCCAACAGGCTTATGAAAGAGAGAGGCTATGAAAAAAGAAGGCAGCTTTTATTGAAAAGCTGCCACGGGCCAGATACAGTGCCAGGAGATGCTGGGAGGCCCACGTGCTCTGGTGACCATGAGCACGGCCTCTGAGATCGCACCAGTTAGGTCCAGAGGCAGCTCCCCTACTACTGGACTGGGAACAAGGCATTCCCCCTCCCTCTGCCTAAGTCTCCCGAGATGGGGTTACTCGCAGAATCCACCTTATAATGAATGGGCTGGAAGGGAAGAGCAAAGGACAGGATCCCCGAAGTTCTCAGGGCGGAGCAGCGCACCGATCTTAGTAGGACTATTATCCACGGTCCTGCTTTGTCGCCTCCTTTTAAGGACAGGAGGGCAAAGATCTCAAGGTCAAGCAGGCCTTTGGGCACCCAGGTCATCCCCACTCCTTGCTGTGTGACCTTGAGCACATAGTTAACCCCCATCCCTAAACTACGCGACACACCCAGCACTGTAACCAACACCGAACAGATGCTGAGTAAATAAATAGCTTGTCCCTGAATGTACCTACCCAAGCCAACTTCCCAGGGTTCCACATCACGCCAGGGCACAGAGCGCCGCCGAGCCCCAACCTGGAGGCCCCAGATTGGCCTTTACTTATTCTTACCAGTGTGGAGCTGTGATGCGGCAAATGAGCATGCGTGGGAGGAGCCAGACACCTGGGGGCGGGTCTCACCTTGACCTTGCTGGATGACCTCAGGCAAGTGCCGTCTCTCTGAGTCTGCTCTGTGAGAGTGATATCAGCCACGTGGTGCTGTCATGGGAATGAAATGTGACAATGGATTTTAAGAGAATTCCAGGTCCAGTAGGAATTTAAGGGGGCTGGAAGCAATTTAAGGTATAAGGATGTATCTCAGTGCTTGGCACATAGTAGGTTCTCCCTAAATGTTGGTGAATCACCCTGAGCTGGGGTCTCCAGGACAGCTTCAAGCATGGAGTCGAAAGAATATGAAAATAATGGTTGAGAGCAATTGCCAGTGATCAAGCATCTGCTTAGTATGTGAATGTTCTCCTCCCATTTGGTAGCTGAGAAAACTGAGGCTCAGAGAATTTCCCAGGGTCTCATGGGGCAATGGTGGTAGCAGGACGTGAACTCAGGACATGATAACACGCTGTCTCCTAGAGGCGGGGGCACACAGCACAGGGGGATGCCAGAAACCCCTGCCACGGACTTGCTGCCAACCCCCTGCTCAGCCCCTTCTCAGCTGCACTCCTACTAATCATTCATTTATTCACTCATTCATTTACTCAACTAATACTTATTGAGAGCCAAGTATGTTTTCTCGTCTCCGGGGCTAGAGAAATGAACAGAACAGATGGAAACTGTGCCCCTCATAGGAGCCATTCTGCAGGGGGAGTCAGAGACTAAACAAAAAATGTAAGCCTGGTGGACAGTGACTAAGTGCTGTGAGGAAAAAGAGCAAGATAAGATGATGGGGAATCCTGGGTATGGTGGGATGAGACGGGGTGGGGGCTGTGCTGCAGTTTAAACAGAACAGTGAGGGCAGGATCGCTGAGAAGATGGCCCTGAGCAAAGACTCGAAGGAGGTGAAGGTGTGAGCCGTACACGAGAAACATCATTTGAAGCAGAGGGAACAGTATGTGCGAAGGCCTTGAGGCGGGAGCCTGTGTGGAAGGACGCAGCTAGCAGGTCCTGCACTGAAGAGGAAGAGACGCCAGGGCAGGGGGCCGTGAGGGCCCTGGAGGCCGCTGGAAACACTTGGGAGTTCGTTCTATGAGACAGATGAAGTCACTGCAGGACTGGCCACTGTGTCAGTACTGGACATTGGGGTGGGGGTGATAGGGAAAGCCTTGAGGGCCCCTTGGTGGGGGGCCCTCAGATCCAACATGCGTGCAGGAAAACTTCCAAATCATCCCTGGCCTTGGGGTTGCCTTTCCTTACCCCAACCTCCCTCCCCCCTGAGGTGAGACTTGAGACTTTGTACCACGGAGCATCTGGGGCCTCTTCATGGGCTTAAAACAGCAGCTGATAAAGCAGGTGTGAGTTTCAGGCTTGAACGGGAATGTGGCGATAAGAACACTTGCTTAAATTAAGGCTTGACAAAGCTCCCCAGGAGGATTGGCTCCTGGCCCTGGGTCAGTGGGTCTGGCCTGGAGCCTTCGGAGGGGCAGGACACGGGGAGCGAAGGACCCACACTGCGCTCCCTCTCATTGCCATCCATGTCTTTTGGGCATGGCCAGCCGTCCCTGCTGAGGACAGCCCAGACTGACAGCCAGGATTCCCCCTGGAGCTTTGGAGCTGCGGGCGATTCTTGGGAGGCAGCCACTGACTAGACCAGGCCTGGGCTGGTCGGGGAAGGGAGGCGTGGCCAGGGCAGCCACCGCGCGTCATGCCTATTCATAACCTGGGCTCTGCTCCCCAGGCAGGTGGGGCAGGCGTGCAGCAGAGTGGATTCTGGCTGTGCATCACTCGGGGGCCTCTCCAGTGTCCTCCAAGGATATCAGCGAGGAGGAGGTCTTTGGCACCCGCCCTTGTCTCCAGCCCCTCCCAGCTGAGATCTCGCCTCTTGCCCATTCTGCAGATCATCTGCCCGCCTCGCCAGTGCCTTTGCAAACTGCAGAGCCCTCAAGGCATGGGGCTCTTTCTTAAGGCAAAGACAAGGCTGCTTGAACTTGGACATGTTTCTAAGGTCTCCCATGAGTATGTGATCTCATCAGAGTTGAAATGTCCCTTCTTGGATCTTTGGAGCTGGAGATCCCCTCCTTGCCAGGCCCTTTGCAGCCAGTGATGTCCCTGCTAAATGTTTAATGGCCAGTTCCCCAAATAAAAGCCCCAATTTGTAGTATTTGCCAATTTCTGTGTGTAAACACACCCATGGCTGATTATAAGCTACCACAGGGTTGGGAAGCGAGGGTCGTGATGGGCTCTCGCGAGATGAGAACTGGCTTCATTCAGCACAGCGCCCGTCCACGTCCCCACCTTCTGGGATGCGCGCTGTCGGTGCCCGAGGCGAGATCACCTTGAACGCTGCCCAAGCTGCCTTCTTGTGGATAAGTCACTGAAAGTGGCTCCTCGTAGGCCAACAAGCCTTTGAAGACTCTTGGACGATGGTGGCCCTGACAGCTGGGGATGGGGTGGCCTCTTCCAGGAGGGGATTGGGAGGGGTGGGTGAGAGACACTGCTCAGAGAGCAGGCCCGGCCTGGAGCTGGGAGAGAGAAGAAAGACTCATTCCAAGTTCTTGGTGTATTTCCTTCCACTCCACTCTGTGTGTGGATGGAGTGTTTTATTGGCCTGTTGTGGATAGTTTTCGTGTGTGCAAAACTACATGTGGTCCCCCAAAGATTTCCATGACTGCTCATAGCAGCATTATTCATAATGGCCCCAATGTGGAAACGCCTCAATTGTCCATCAACTGGTGTGTGGATAAATGGAGATGGGCTCCATCCATGCAATGGAACGCTATTCAGCAACAGAGAGGCATGAGGTACCAATATACACAGCCATGTGGGTGAACCTCAAAAACATTATGCGAAGTGAAAGAAGCCAGATGCCCTTTCTGATTCCATTTATATTAAATGTCCAGAAAAGGCAAACTATAGCGTTAGAAAACAGATTCGTGGTTGCCTGGGGCTGAGAATAGGAACAGTGACTGCAAATGGGCATCAAGCGTCTTTTTGGCGTTTATAAATAAAATAATATTTTACATTCAGCTTCATTTCATTAAAATGACTAATAGTTAAATTTTATTTTATTTAAGTAAATTTTGTTTTTAACCATTTTAGTTACTATTTTACATTTAATGTATCTTAAAATAAAATAACATTTCTTTAATTAAAAAATTTTAAATTGCATTTTTAGTTTGATCAGGGTGCTGGTTATATAGTGACATCTGTTCTTTATGTGAGAGCCACCAAGCTGTACACATATGATGGTGTACTCTGCTGGTTGTGTGTTATATTTCAATAAAAAGTTGAAGTGTGGGATCAAGAGGAAAAGGATTTCAGGGTACCGTCCGCTGCGCAGCCAGCAGCCTCCGTGCCGACCATACTCCTTCCTGGTATAAGTGACAGTGGGTTGTGCCCAGCTGTTTGTGGTATTGGTGGGGTGGCAGTGAGGCCGTCCCTCAGCTAACCTGTCTCCCTCTTCTCTCTCCCACTGTGTCTGCGTGGCGCTGTCTCTTGTCCATCCATCTCATGTGCTGTGTGTGTCCGTAGCCTCATTCTGTGCTGTCGGTCAGAGAGCTCCATCTCATCTCACCTCATCCCTCGGCCCGGCACTGTCTCAGCATGGCCATCTCATCACGCCTCGCCCTGTGGGAGCAGAAGGAAAGTAACGTCCAGGGCTCCGGCCGCAGCTGCAGGGGCCAATGCGAACCTCGGAGGACAAGTCACAGCATGCGTGGCCCCGGCTGCTCCCTCCTGCCCCAGGCAGGGTGTCTGACACCCAGCGCCTTCCTAGACCATGTCCAGTTTCACCTTCCATCTTCTCCCGGCCAGCTGGGTTAGCCACGGCCTCTCCAGCCCGGCTGGTCATTAGTGATCATGCCCTTGACTCCTACCACAGCTGACTGGTCTGTCCCGTCCTGCAGGCGGCAGTGGGAGAATGAGGGTAGACCCGCTCTCCCATCGCCAGCCTCATGGCAGCTCGGAGGAGCACAGGGGTTGGAGTGGGGGGAGGAGGGTGGATGGTAGGGCAGAGGCAGAGCTGCTGGCTGCCAGGCTTATGCCATGGGGATGGGTGTCTCTGGTCCCTGCTCTCTGTCACTGTGGAGAACTGGAAAGGGGCCCTTCCCTCCAGTTAGTCCTCATTTCGCTTTTGTATGTCTCACAAGACACCAGGGAAGGGCTGCCTCTTTCTCTGATGCCCGTTATCTCCTCCACCCGTCATGCCACCCTCATGCTTGGGACTTGATGAATTGGAGGCTGAAGGGTAGGGTGGGTGAGGAGCTTTTTCCTGGCTGCCTTCTGGCGCTGCCTCTGCCCTTCCCTGACTGAGCTGGGGGTATCACTGAGAATAACGCTGGAAGAAGCAGAGGTTGACACGCCGCTGACTGTGCCTTCAGATGCACTCTCACTGCTGATGTGGGTGTCCATCTGCATGGAGAGAAGTAAGATGTGGTGTAAACGTGAGCGTAACCGCACATGTCCCCTGCCTCTCCTCCTGGGCAGACGTCGGCGTCAGCCAGCCTTATCCCATGGCCTGCTCGTCTCCTGTCCTTTCTTATCTCCTTTGGAGTCCCTGTTTACTAGCTGGCCTGCAGAGATCAAGTCTTGGAGGAGGACCCTGATAAGGAGCTTATTTTTAAACCAGTGTGTAGCTCTTCCATAGAAAGCACTGGAGATTTTTTTTTTTCCCTCGTGAGCTGTCATGGTGATACTGATTAAAGACACAACCCAGTGGGCCATAGCCAGTCCCAGACCTCAGCCCCTCAGGTCGCTGTGGCCAAAGAAGAGGTGTCAGCTGCACCCAAGTCCAGGCAGCTCTGGCCTGGGCCATGTTTCCAGGGTAAAATGCCAATGTCTAGCCTGCCTGCTTTAGGACCCCAGGTGGGGGCACCCCTGGCTGCCCGGGTCCTGGTCTAGAGACCATCAAGAAGCCACAGCACTGGGTCAGTGGAGTGGGCTGGAGCCATAGGGTTGGACCCTTACAGAAACCATGGCTGCAAACCCTTCCCCACCTGACCATGGTCCTGGCACACAATGATTAATTTGTTATTATATTAACTATAAACTGGATGGTTCCCTGTGGTCCAACCCCTCTAAGGACCTGGAAAAGCTCCATTTGGTGCAGGTCCTCCCAGAGGTAGGTGTGCCCCACACCAAGAAAGGGAACCAGTGGCTTTCATGGGTCAGATTCATATTATGAGGAAACTCGGTCCAGGCAGAGATCATACTGGCTGGAGTAACCTCTGCTACTCATCTATTCCATTTTCACGTGCTGTTTCCTGGCCTCCCAAGAGCCCCGCCCAGCCTCGCCTGCTTTGCCGCAGCCTCGCATACATGGGCTTGGTCATGTATGTCCTCCTCGGCCTGCTCCCATGCTCCATTGCAAACTTTTTAAAGGGCAACGTGCTCCTACTGGTTCACTCACTGAGCTCTCTCCTTCCTTGCTTCTGCAAAAACAGATTCGAGAAGAGGACAAGAGCCCTCCACCGTCCTCCCCTCCTCCCCTTTTCTCTGTCATCCCAGGGGGCTTCATTAGGCAGTTGGTCCGGGAGACTGAGAAAGAGTCCAAGGAAGCAAGACGGAAGAAACAGGCAGCGCTTGGCTCTCCAGAACAAGAGGTAAGTGGCCCTGCGGGAAGGGAGCCGGGTACATGTCAATACTCAGCATCCTATCCTGTGACCCTCCTCTGAGTCACTTGCTATCGTGCTGTGCTCATTTTGAGGAATGGCCTATCTTTAGCTTGATCTGCTGAGCTCCTATACATCCTTCAAAACCCAGCTTAAACGGTACATCTCTGGAAAGCTCTCCCATTGCCTTCCTTCCTCTGATTTTCACTGTACCTTCTACACCTGTCTTAATTGTTTTTTGGCATAGTAATTATTTGATCGTATATGACTTATTTGACAAGAATTCCTTAAGAGCACCAACTGCCTCTCTCATTCAACTCTGAATCTTGAGCAATCTCGTAGTACTTGGCCTATAGTGAGTGCTCAACAAAGGTTTGTTGAATGAATGAATGAATGAAATTAGTTGATGTATAATTGTGGGCATCATTTCACCCCGATTTTTGCAGACAGGGAAACCTTGATATCAGCTAAAGATGTATGGTTAGCTCAATTTAATTGAAGCAGAAAAGTTATTCAGTTGGTGCTCACTGGTTCTAGCTGTACTGGTTGTTCAAATATTGAAACCCTTCCATACCAGGTGGTAAACGACCATGGCCCAGGGCCCCCAAGTACCCTCCTGCTGTCATGCTTACCTAGGCCCCTTTCCTTCGTCCCTTGGAATGGCCACAATCCAATAATTAAAGGGTGAATGCTTGGCACAGGTAGGAACCTCGGTACCCTGCTCCTGCTGGCTTCCCTTCTGATTGGCTGGTGTCCACAGACAACCCTTAATTGTCTGAATAACACAGCTAGATTGAAGCAATAGTTGGACAAGATGCACTTCCTATGCTTTAGGGACTTGCACATTTCTTCCTGATGGTGGCCAGTGCTGGCTGGTCTCCCTCCTTGTCCCCAGCTCCTTAGCCTGGGAATCTAGACAGGATAATGGGGCTGGACACTAGGGAGGCAGGCATAGAGTGCAGTGCGCCTTGAGGAATGTCCTGTTTTCAGCTTGATCTATTGAACTCCTATGCAGCCTTCAAAACCCAGCTGAAATAGTATGTCTCTGGAAATAGTACACCTCTGTTAGGCAGAAAGGACATCTCCTCATGCACCTCCAGTACCCCCTTGAAATAGGGTGAATGCTGCAATGATTCGGCTGAGAAAGCTGGTGGCCTCAGGGCCTCATGTTGGCTTGAGCCCAGGGGCCATCCTGGCTCTGCCTCCCACCCCCCTTCAGCTGTTGCTTGCCCAGCCAGCCCCCCATGTGCCTGCACCTGTCCAGTTACAATGGCTTGGCTGCATCAGAGAAGTCCTCTGGCAGCTGGACAGCAGCAGCTGCTAAAACACCCCTGCCAAGTCTTTGTGAGGAAGGATGATGGGTATGTATGGGGGCCAAAGGCGACCCCCGTAGGCTGTTAGGTCAGGACGGAGAGGAATTGTGTGCCATTTGTCACCAGACACTGTTCACTTTGCTGCTCACGGGTTTATTTGAAACCCCAGTGCAGCAATGGGGGTAGATGGGATTATACCCATTTATCAGAAGTGGAGACTGAGGCTCAGAGAGGTCAAGTGACTTGCTGAGGTCCTGAGGCAGAGGCAGAGCCAGGGTAAGAATCTGTGTTCTCTGCTCTGGAGAGCTGCCTGAGAAGGGACAGCCTGGGGGCGAGGTTGCTGGTGTGGTGGCCACAGAGGCCTGGGGAGGAAAGGGTTCCACGAGGACAGAGGCCATGCTGTGCACAAGTGAAGAAGCAGGACTGAGCAGGGGCTGGGGACAAACTGTCACCGCTGGGCCTGGAAGGAGACTCAGAGCCAAGATGCGGGATGGACAGGCCTCAGAGCACAGCAGGTGTCTGGACCATGGGCCAAGGTGCTCCCGGACCTGGAGCAGGGCAACCTCAGGACACGTTCCTGTGAGGAAGCAAGCTAAGGCTGATTCCTGACAATTTAGTTCTCTTGTCCCATAACTCAGGAGTCTGCCTTCTCACCCCAGCACAACCGATTCATCTGACCCTGAAATAATCCTTGCAAAGAGCCGCTAGAATCCATCACCATTTTTCAGGGATGGGTAGTGAGGCTCACGGAGGTGACCTAGCCAGGGAGGGACAGGGAGAGGCTGGAATAACCCTGGGGCAGAGACCCCTATCCAATGTCAGGAGAACTGGGTTCCAGCTCTGGCCTCACCATTCTGTCTGATCCAGGCCAAAGCCCTTTCCCTGTCTTGGCCTCAGTTTGCTCCCCTGTAAAATGGATGTGCTGTGAGCCTCCTCGTGGCCCCAGTGATTCTGGAGGTGCTGCTTCTCCCCTATATGAAGAAGGCTGCAGGGGCTGAGGGCTTGGGTGACTGTGAGAGAAAGATAATCAGTCCCATTCTCTCCCCTATCCCGTGAGCTCTCTTCCTTTGGGGTGGGGTGGGGGGCAGGGAGGATGGAATCAGTTATCTTCCTTGGCCCATCCCCATGTTACTGTCTCCTCCACGGTGGTTTGGTTAAAAATAAGGCACTGACTCACTTTTCATACTGGTGTAGACAGTGGCGAGGTTTGCCAAGTGCAGCCGATCCCCTTTCCAAGGCCATGTTCGGCCTGGCCTCAGAAGGTCACACTGAGCCACTGGGCCCTGGGCACTAGAGCAGGGGTTCTTAGTCCCGGCTGCACGTCGGAATCTCCTGGGGGCCCACAACCCAGACCAACTACATCAGACTCTTTGGGAGTGAGGCCAAAGCATCAGTATATATTTTTTAACTTTATTGGGGAACAGTGTGTTTTTCCTGGGTTCCATCAGCTCCAAGTCAAGTTGTTGTCCTTCGATCTTAGTTTTGGAGGGCGTAGCTCAGCTCCAAGTCCAGTCGCCATTTTCATTCTAGTTGGGGGGGGTTGGGGGGAGGGGCGCAGCCCACCATTCCATGTGGGAGTCGAACCAGCAACCTTGAATTAAGAGGACGCGTTCTAACCAACTGAGCCATCTGGTCACCTGTTGGCAGCTCAGCAGCAGCTCAGCTCAGGTCATTGTCTTCAATCTAGTTGTGGAGAGCGCAGCTCACTGGCCCATGTGGGAATCGAACCAGCAACCCTGTTGCTCAGAGCTTGCGCTCTAACCCACTGAGTCACCTGGCCAGCCCCATCAGTAGATTTTGCAGCACCTAGCAAATTCCAGTGAGTCCGAGAGAGACGAGACAAGTAAGGCCATGACTATGCAGCAGTTATGGGCACTGGCTTTAGACTCAGAGAGGCCTGCATGGCTTTACATCCTGGCTTTGTCTCTTGAGCCACTTAATGCCTTTGTGTTTGCTTCATTGTCTGTAGACTGGCGAGAAGTTCAGAAGCTATTCATTCAGCTCCTATGAGGGTTAGGTAGGATATTGCATGATGGCGATGTAGGGCCCACTGTAAGGGATCTGTAAGTGATAGCTATAATTATTATCATCATCATCACCATCATCTTTACAAAGATGAAGATAGAGACTGTGCCCTTGAGGCATCTACCCCCTAAAACAGGAGAGTGATACAAACCAAAGCTGGACTAGGGTGAAGAGTGTGGTCACTGCTGCAAATGGCGAGCTAGCACAGGGCTCCGGGGCTTCCTGGATGTGCGAGACAATTTCTGATGGAGGTCCACAGGCAAAGATTTGTGGAGGAGGTGGCGCTTGAGCCAGGTATAGAGAGGAGTAGAGCATGGGCCAGTGAAGAGGGGCAAGGGCATCCCCGCAGCAAGCTCCACATGAACAAAAGTTTGGAGGCCGGTACATCACAATGGCGGTGTGTGGTCCTGGTTGGGGACTCTGAATGGCAGACAGTGGTGGCGATGACTCCCCCATAGGCTGTGGGCAGCTGCCAAAATCTTTTGACTGGGTTTGAAATGACTGGCAGCCAATGAAGGGACACCAGTTCAGAGGCAGTGGACATAGACCTGGGTTTGGGAAAAGACACAGATGTGAAGCTTTATAGGGTGGAAACATCATAGGCTGGTTCAGGTATAAGGGGAGGGTTAGAACCTCAGGTTCCCAGGTCCAGTTGTGTGGGAGGCTGGCGTTAGCATGGTCCAAGATGGAAGAACCCAGACGAGGGCAGCTGATGAAGCTGCCCATGAGGTCTCTTTCTGCAGAGGCAGAGGCAAAGCTGGCCCTGTGAGCAATTTAGGCCACAGGCAGCCTGGTTTGAGGATGGAGGGCTGGGTAGGGCTGACATCACAAGCCAGTGAAAGGGCCTGGCAGAGGAACAGGCAGCGCTGACCCCATGGGTGTGACGTAGCCCAAGTGTCTAGTTCAGGCAAGAGTGGAGGACCTCAGGGGCAGAAACCAGGGCCGTCATCTGGGATGGGGGGTGGGGTATGGGAACCAAGTCGGCAGAAGTAGCAGCAGCTCAGCTTGTTTAGTCCTCTGCGATTTCCAAAGCGCTTTGCCACACCTCATCCTGCAACAAATCTGGGTGGTCAGGTGGTGGTATGTGCCCGCGCAAAGGAAGACGGACGCTCAGCGAGGAGGAGGATGTTTTTCATGGTCACCTAGCCGGGAAGTGTGTGAGCCAAGACCAGAACAGGTCCTCTGAGGACACGCTCAGTCCTTTCCCTTTCTGGCCCAGCCGGAAGCAAGGCCAAAAAAATGTAACTGTCAAAAACAACAATAACAATGGCGACAGCAGCAACTACCGTTACCGAGGACTTACTATGTGGTGGGCTCAGTTTCTGTATATTATTGTGACTCCTCGCCCCCACCCTGCAAGGTAGGTCATTGTGGTCCTCATTTTATCGATAAGGAAACAGGCTCAGGGAGGGCAAGTAATTTATCTAAGGCCACCCAGCTAGGGAGTGGCTGTTAAGAGTTGAATTTGGAGTTGAGTCTGTTGAGCTCCAAAGTCCACTCTCCTTTCGCTCAGCCTTGAGGCACTGGGCCAAGGTCCAGGTGTGGGGGGCTGGCTCATTGCCTGGCACAGTGTTCATTGTATCTTGTAGGTGCTTGAGGGTCTTTGGATGGATAAACGTCTGAATGAACAAATGAATGAATGAGTGAGTGAATGAGTGAATGACAAAGCTGTCAGATCAGCAAGCAGATAAGTATGGTTGTGCTTTCTCCCTTAGACCCCAGAAATTTCCACTAATCGACCCAACAGCACGTCCAACAGTGACACCAAATCTGGAAGCCAGGAAATTTCCCAAGGCAACCAGGCGAGCTCTCCCCAGAACTCAAACATTCCAGCCAAGGAGAGCCAGGGGGCGAACCCCACGGACCCCGTGCTGATGTCCACCATCAATGGCGAGAAGCCCCAGGAATCGCGCCCCAGTGGGGCTCCAGCCAAAAAACCTCTGCCCTTCAAGAGGGGTGTGAGGAGGGGCGACGTATTGCTGATGGTGGCCAAGCTGGACTCGGACTCAGCCAAGCTGGAGCAAAGGACCCAGCCCCATGATGCCCCCACCTGCAAGACCTCGCTCCCAACCACAGACCCTGGAGGGGAAACAAAGGGGGAGATCTCACTGACTCCTGGTGGCCCCCAGGCCAGCACTGAGAATGCAGCCCTGAAGGCTGAGAAGACCCAGACTGGGGGTGTTGGGGACCCGGGAACTGTGCTACAGACAAAAGACGAGAAAGATCAAGGCACAGCGGAGAAAGGGGTTGGGATCCCCCAGACCAAAGGGCCGAAAGGGGGTGAGCCCCAAGGCAAAGAAGGGCCAGGTGAAGCGGGGCGACCAAGGACAGTGGAGAAGGGGGGAGGGGACCCGCCAACCAGGGTGGCAAAAGGACACCTCTCCCAGGATGCAGGGGTTACAGGGAAGTTGGCTGGGGCCCAAATCCAAGTGCAAAAGTGGGGAGGCTCCCTAGACAGAAGAAGCAGGTGGGACGGCCCCCAGAGGAAGAAGGACAAAGAAGGTGCACTCCTCAGCAAGGCAGGGAAGACAGACGACCATCCGGTCAAGGCAGAGAAGATGGACAAAGAGCTTGAGGAGGTTGGGAAGGTGGGGGAGGACCCCAGAGCGATGGAGAGAGCAGGCGGGCCTCAGAGTGTGTCCGGGCGCGCGGGCGAGGCTGGGAGTAAGACAGAGAAGGGCTGTGAAGCCCCCAAGGAGGTGGATGCACGCAGGGAGACCCCAGCGGTTGCTGGGGAGGAGGGCCAGCCAGACAGCAGAGGGCGGAACGCAGAGGAGCCATGTGCGAGAGGAGGTGGTGGGGCCGCGGCCCTGGGGACAGAGCTGGAAGGGCCCAAACCACCTGCTCTGGACAGCCATGCAGAAAGGCCTCGGACGCAGGAGAACCAAGAGGGGCCGGCCCTGCAACAGGGGGACAAAGGAGACCAGAGCAGAGACTCGGACCAGGTGAGGAGGCTGTGGCCCCAGGAGTGGGGAAGGGTTCGGGGGATAGGAAAGGCTTGCCCGGGGATGTGCAAGGCGGGGCAGGAGATGGACAGGAAATCGGAGAGGGGTGGCCAGCCGAGCAGAGGTGACAAGCACGTCTTCTTTGACAAGCAGGGATCTTGAGGCCCCCCCTCCCCCGACTGCACCAGTCCTGGGAGGAGAGTCCCCACAGCATGAGGGGTGTCCCCTTGTGGCTGCTGTTACTCATGATGTCACATGACAGTTTTCAAATTTGGGGTTGCATAAATAGCAGATTGCTGAAAATGCAGGATGGGGGTGGGTGGGTGGGGGGAGGGGTGGCAGGCAGCTTGGAGCTTCCATTCAAAAGGCCAGGGGTGGGGCCAAGGTATCTACATATAAATAATTACTCTCCTCCCCCTCTGATTTTGGGTGACCCCAGACCAAACTGTGAGAAACTCCCCTGTAGGGGATTTGTCCTTCACACGGGGGTGGGGAGGGCAGTGTCATTCTGGTCTAATTTATGTGCTCTTTTCTCTCAGGCTCCCGAGGACAGATGGTACGAGGCAGAGAAAGTCTGGCTGGTTCAGAAGGATGGATTTACTCTTGGTAATTAGGGGTATTAGCACATTTGGGGGTGTCTAAGTCTGTGCCTCTTGCGTTCCCTACTGCTGCTAGCCACATTTGCCAGGTCCTGGTCACAGTTTGGGGGGAAAGGTGAGGGGTAAGGAGCCCCTGAGACTAGGATGGGGATATGTGGCAATTGCAGGGGGGAATAGTTGAGTGTCATTTCACCCTTGGCAGCTGGTCTACTGGGTACTGTTGACAAAGACATTTGAGCCTTGTATTTAATGATTGAACTAATTCATGAAGGCAATAAGCATGTTTTGGTTCCTACAGTGTTTCTTAAGAAACTCGGAGTCTAGCGCAGGTGGGCAATTAGATTTCATCTCATGAGCCCACTTTTGTTGATGAGTTGTCACCACACTCAGTACACTGAGAAGCGATTTGGAGTCCTAGTCGGAACGCAGCTGGGACGAACGAGTGGCTAGTGATGTCTGTCGTGGCACCGGCATAGGTAATGGCAGCTTGTGTGCCATTACCTGCCATCCCATCTAGGTGGGTTGTGCACCCAAAGATCTGGGTTCCTACTCTGTGCCTGGCACTGTGCCAGATGATAAAAGCCTAAGGTGAGTTGGGCCCAGCCTCTGCCTTTAAGAATTTGGGGGTCACAATTCAGAACCCCCCATGTGCATAGGCCCCAAAGGGAGAGGATCTGACTTCTCCCTCTCTAGCTCCCTGGCCTGGCTGAGCAGCTCAGAGCCTGTCCCCTCCCCTCCCCTCCCCTCCCTCTCTCCTTCTCTCCCTTTCCCTCTCTCTGCTGTCCACCAGCAACGGTGCTAAAGCCAGATGAGGGAACAGCCGACCTGCCAGCAGGAAGGGTACGACTTTGCATTGATGCTGACAAAACCATCACCGAGGTGGATGAAGAGCATGTTCACCGGGTGAGCCCCCTGTCCTCCTCCCTGACTGTCCCGCACCTTCCTGCCCCACCCCTGCAAGAGATACCCTTGTACCTGACTGAAGATTCTACTTTGGCTTGATGCCCTGGATGGAGTTATAGGGAATATCACTGTTGAACTCATTGCTCTGCTGGAGGTGTATCATTAGGAGTGATTACTCTGTCCCACGGTGTCCCCTTTATGGAAACATATCAAGAGACATGTTTGTTAGTTCTTAGGAGTGGGGGTTCTTCTGCTTGACCCAAGATAGTAATTGTTTTTCTTTTTATGGACATTGCAAATCATGCTACAAAGCATGTTTCCTTTTTCACTCTGGCTGCCAGGGAACTCAGAGCCCAAGTTGCCGCTTGCCGTTAACCATAGCATAGGTTTCAATGGCCTATATTTTGGGTATCAATCATTCTTTTGGTTTTGCCTTTTCAGTTGTTTTGCATAATTTTTTCAGTGCACCATAAATCTGTTTGAGGACCTGTTTATCGTACGATGATAGAGAAAAAGGTTCTGTCCTGATCCTCTTCCACACCAAGGGTTTCCTCCAGGAGCTCCATGTGGGCCTTGTTCATTCCTCTCCACTCCTCCTCTGCCCACCCCAGGCCCTCCATTCCCATTGGTGTTGGGAGTTTGCAGAAAGCCAGAGTCCTCAGGAGAAAGACTCGCCCATAAGAGAGCTCAGGGTTACCCCATATCCCAGAGCATTAGGCCAAGAAAACTCTTTGAAGCTGGAAAGAATGGTAGGAAACCTGTTAGAATGGAGGCTCCAAGGAGAAGCTGCCATCACTTTTTGCTCCTAGAAGAGCCTGGCATATTTCTGAGGGCTCAGTGCATGAGGGGTGATCAGAAAAATGGACAGTTTGGCCATTGGTCTCCATCCCTGAGTGTCACAGAGCACATGCAGTGCTCCCCCACAAAACTCTGAAGAGGAGGGAACAGCAGTAAGCACTGCCTGACTTGGGAGCACCACCCATCTGTTTCTGGTATTTGAGATGCAGAAGTTGCTCTGAGCCTTGCCGTGCCTCTGTCCTGAGCATCTCTCCTCACGGCGCAGTGAACGTAGGAAGGAAGGACCAGTGTGAACAGGAGGCAGCTCTCAGGCTGCACAGAGAGCAAAAGAGAAGGGGTGCCCCTGTTTCATTTGTAGGGCTCTGTTACTCTCTTCCCAGAGTCCTTGTGTTCTGTTGTGGTCTTTGGCACACAGCTCCCCTGGAACAGAGTCAGCAGGGCTGTGTGTGTGTAGGGGTGTGGTGGTGGTGTGGGGGCCCAGGAGGCCACAGGACACTCTGTGTGATGCTTCGCAGGCCAACCCCACAGAGCTGGACCAGGCAGAAGACCTGGCCTTCCTGGTCAGTGTCAATGAATCGAGCGTCCTGAACACACTTCTGCACCGCTACCGGGCTCAGCTGCCGCACACCTACGCTGGGCCAGACCTGATCGTCCTCCAGCCCTGGGGGCTCCCGGCACCCTCCACAGGCAAGGTGAGGGGGGTCATGGGGCCAGGGACAGAAGGGGTGAGGTTGGGAGGGGCCCCTCTGCATCTCAGGGGAGAGCAGGGCAGCCAAAACCCCCTGCAAACCTGTCTGTGAGCAGCCTCCGGCCAGCCGTGAGATATGGGGGCATCGAGGACCACGTGATCCCCCCTTCTTAGAGGGGAAAGATGGGTAACTGACAGAAACAACAACAGGAGCTTTAAAGACAGTGATGAGAGAAAATATCAAATGGGTATCATTCTGTACCAGGCGCTGCTTCAAGCACCTTCGCATATTATCTCAATTAATTCTCTCCCTCCCCCGCCCCCCGCGGAAAAGACAGGTACCATTACTAGTCCCGTTTTGAGATGGGAATCGGCTGGGCCAGCAGCTAAACTCTCAGGTTCACCAAGTGGAGGAGCCGGGATAAAACCCAGGCTGCTGGCTCTTCTGTGCTCAGAGCCCCGTGCTGGACTCTGGGGGGTCCCGCACACCCACATAAAACAGGAAACACCAAAGCCTCCGTTCTGCTTTTATTTATTTTTCCTGGGAAGTGGAGAAGAGGCTGGTTTTTGTCAAGGCCATCAAAGCAAAAGGAGTCTCTCAGCGCCACCTTGTGGACAGGCCTGGAGCCACAACTGAGTAACTAGAGCCCCAGCCGGTCCATTCGTTCGAGGGCTATTGATGGAGGTATCCACGGAAGTCTTTTGTGTGCCAGACCCAGAGGACAGAGCAGGGAAGGGGACTGGCAATCAGCCTGTCCTTGTGGAGCTTCCATCCTCGTGGGGGGAGACAAGCCCGGAATACTAAAAAGATAACACGGGTGGAGGCGATGAGTGTGGAGGAGTAGAGACCGAGGAGGTCCGGAGAAGTGGGGACCGGGGTCAGGTTATATATACATGGTCATGACTCGAAGCCTGATGGAGGTTTTTAGCTGAGCAGTGACATGGTCTGACTTACGTTGTAAGAGGGTGCCCTTGACTGCTGAGTAGAGGATAGGTGGAAGGGGGCAAAGGTGGAGGCAGGGAGACCCGTTGGAGGTCAGATGTGTCATCTGGGCGCTGTTCTGAGAACTTGTCGGCTGGGGAAGGCGCCAGCCCCTAGAGCACCTGTGAACACACGGCGGGCGCCTGGGAGGGATCACAACACCTTTCTGGCCTCAGTTTTCTCATCGGTCACTTGGGGATGAAAAGCCACAACTTGCCCTCTAGGGTCCCATGGACATTCCTAACCCCCAAAGGACGTTAAGTCCATCAAAGAGGTGACAGTGGCCCTTCACCCCACCTCCCCAAGACCTGTCTTCTGCAGGACACCCCACCCCACCACTTTGGTGGCTTCTCAGACCCCTCCCCAGCCCGGCTGATCATGGCCCGGGGCCTGGGAGGATGACAGCTGCGCATGGGCACGCTCCCCCCCCTTGCTGTGAGGGCTAGGCGTCTCTTACTGCAGCCCAAGGCCTCAGAGCCTTCTGAGGAGCTGAGTGGCTCCTCTGGGTCCTTAGCAGCCCCTGGGAGGGCCGTGTGGTGCAGATTCTCAGGGCAAGCCAGATTCTCACAGGCCCTTCTGGACTGAGGCACCCATTTCAGAACCTGGGCCAAAGAGCCCAAATGTGCAGGCATTGGGTCACATCCTGGGGGGAGGAATTTGAGTCTCCACATGCCCCGAAGCCGTAACCCAGTGCCCCACCCTTCCCTGAAGCCATCCAGCCTCCCACACCCAAACCCACATCTGGTGCCTCAAATGGCCACCAGGTGGGAGCACATACCTGCGGTGAGGCTGGGGCTGGGGCCACCTTGAAGATGGCCTGGGTGAGGTCTGGGGCAGTGCTGGGGGCTCTCTCACTGGGGGTCTGGGCCCACTGGGAGGCTCTGAGCTGGGTGTGTACCTGGGGGGTGCAGATCTTCATGGGTATGAGCATGGGGGTGACCATGTTGGGCATAGGTGGGCCGGCCTCAGTGTGCAAGGCCTCTGCAATTGTTGGATGCATGTGCCTGTGAGCACACCTGTGTGTAAGCAGGAAAGGGTGCACATGCACAAAGGCAAGTTCATATGCAGGTGCATGCACCCATGCACCCATGTGCATACACAGAGGCCTGGGTCTGCAGAATTTTCTCTTCTCTCCTCTGGACTGTGGGCCTGAGAGGCTGAAGGACCGGATAGCCTGTCATTGAACTTCAGTGTTTCCGGAGTGGGAGTTAGCTCCAGGACTCAGACCACAGGATCCTCTGCCTGCTGCAAGCCCTAAGACTGTCTCCAGCCTGGCTGGGACTTGTCTCACACCTTTGCCAGAGGCGGAGTCCTGCTGAGCCCTGCTGAGCCATGTTTTGCATCAGAACAAAAGCTCATTACTATTCCCAGGGGCTTGGGGGCACAAAGCTCAACAGTGGACTAGGGTGGCCCTCAGCCCCAGGTTGGAGGGCCAGGATAGGGTGAAGGCCACCACATTGGGGCTTGTGTCCCTGGTCCTGCCAAGGCACTGGAGAGGGCAGATGGGGCCTTGCTGGGCCCACTGGCTGCCCACTTAGCATCCTGGGCTTCCAATGTCCCTGTCCAGCTGCTGGCCCATTCCGCTGTTCCCTTTGGTGCCTTTCCACTGACCTCACTGTCTCCGCTGCCTCTTCCCTTCTCCCTGAAGGCCACCTGAAGCAGACTTTTGTCAAGTCAGCAACGATTTTAATATCGCCAAGTCCAGTGGTCAATTGTCCTGTCTCCTTTGACTTGACCCTCAGCAGCATTTGATGGGCGGATCCCTCCCCGCCTCCTGCAAATGCTCCCTTCTTTGGCTCCAGGACTCCACTCTCCTGGTTTTCCTCTGTCCCTCTGTCCCTCCTTCTCAGCCTCCTTTGTGAGTGTGAGTGTGAGCCTGAGCGTGTGTGAGTGTGAGTGTGAGTGTTTGTGTGTGTGTGTGTGTGTGTGTGTGTGTCTCCCTGACCTCTCCAGTTCTGCTGTTTGGTCCCCACCTCTTCCCTCTTCCTCTTCAAACACCCACTTGGTGATCTCATCCAGGCTTGTGGCTTTAAAATGACTCCTGTTTTGATATAATTTATTATTTGTTTTGTTTGTCATCAGTCTTTCCCCAACAGAAAGCAAGCTCCACGGGCAGGGCTTTGCAATTTTAAGTCAGGTTTATTAAGGTATACTTTACATACAGGTAAAATCACCTTAGTTGGTGTCTTGTAAGTTTTGGACAAATGTGTACAGGTGTTTAACTGCCTCCACCATCCATTACAGGACAGTTCTATCACCCCCAAAAGTTTGCCAGGCCATCCTTTTGTGGTATCCCTCCCCTATGTCCTGACCTTGGCAACCACTGATCTATTTTTTGTGGTTTTTTTTTTTTTAAAGATTTTGTTGGGGAATTGGGTGAGGGAACAGACAAGTTTCTGTCCTTTTGTTCCTCAGTCTAGTTGTGGAGGACATTGCTTCACTGGCCCGTGTTGGTATTATCATTGCGCTCTTCCCGGCTGAGGCAGATGGGTCGCCGGCCTCTGGACGGCCGCTCACAGCTGCTCTTGGCAGCTCACACTGGCTGCCGGCCACTCATGGCAGCCCACTGCAGCAGGGGCTGCAGCCTATGCCATCGCCGGCAACTCACGGCAGCCCAGCTCCAGGTCGAGCTGTTGTTCAGCATCTTAGCTGTGGAGGGCAGTGTCACTGGCCCTCATGTGGGATCCAAACTGGGGCCCTGCTGCTCAGAGCTGGCGTCCCAAGCCAGCTCTTATCCAATGCGCCACTCGGCCGGCCCTTGTGGGGTTTTTTTGGTCCTTATATAATAGTTTTGCCTTTTCTGAAAAGTCATATACCATATTTTGTTGTGTATGATGCACTCCCGTGTATAATGCACACCCATATTTGTTGGTCCAAACTTTCAGTGGAAAATTTTTTCATTTTAATTTTTTAATTCAAATTTTTATTTGTTTACATTTAGGTACTTGTTTTTTTATATTATAAAAAATTTTAGCATTTATTTTTTAACATATTATGGTACAAGAAATTTTATGTAACAAATAATTACAAAACACAAGAACAGATACAAGGTACAAGAAATTTTATGTACCGGTAAAAAATTTACAATATTTACTCATCTTAGAAAGCCAAGAACTTTTCATTGTTGCAAGTTCCTTGTAAGTTCAACAAAACGAATTATCCTATTCCAGGGTGTTATTTTGCATATGGATATCATTATTGATTTTTTGAGTTATTACACTTTTAACTCATAAGCATAAATAAAAGAATTAAAAATATTTATATAGATACAGAATTAGTGCTACCCACGTATAATGTACATCTTTATTTTTCCCTCACAAATTTGGGCAAAAAAAATGCACATTATACACAACAAAATATGGTAAATGGAACCTTACAGTATGTAACCTTTTGAATCAGCCTCTTCCACCTAAAACAGTGTATTTGAGATTCGCCTGCATTGTTGCAGCTATCAGCTGTTTGTTCCTTTATTTCATTGTATTTTATTGTGCTAGTTTGTTTATCGATTCATAGGGGGACCAGGTGTCCTGGTGTCCCTGGGGCTCAGGTTTCCTGGAAAATGAGATTTTTTTTTTAAAGATTTAATTGGGGAATTGGGGGAGGGGAACAGCATTGGGAAATCAGGGACAGGGAACACACAAGTTGCTGTCATTTTGTTCTTCAGTCTAGTTGTGGAGGACGTCACTTCACTGGCCCATGTTGGTATTATCATTGCGCTCTTCCCAGGTGAGGCAGTTGCTCCCCAGCCATTGGACAGCTGCTCATGGCGGCTCATGCCTGCTGCTGGCCAGCCCCACTACAGCCTACGCCATCGCCGGCGACTCATGGCTGCCCAGCTCCAGGTAGAGCTGTTATTCACCATCTTAGCTGTAGAGGGCGCAGCGTCACTGGCCCTCATGTGGGATCCGAACTGGGGATCTGCTGCTCAGAGCTGGCATCCCAAGCAAACTTCTAACCAATGTGCCACTCAGCTGGCCCTGAAAATGAGATTTTCAATGCTAAAACCAGGATGGTTGGTTACCCTAGTTCACTAGTTGAAGGACATTTGGGTGGTTTCTAGTTTTGAGTGATTTTGAATATACTTTTAATATAACCAATGACATAGGAGGTTTTTTGTGAACATAAATGTTCATTTCTCTTGGGTACATACCTAGAAGGGAGATCGCAGGGTTGTGCGATGTGTGCACATCTCACTGTATAAGAAACTGCCAACTTTTTCTGAGTGACTGTATCATTTATCATTCCCACCAGCATTGTATGAGAATTCTCATTGCTCCGTATCATCACCAGAACTTGATAATGAGTGTTGAAAAAAATTAAAAACATTTTTAAAGCCATCCTCATAGGTGTATAACGGTATCTCCTCATGGTTGTCAGAGATTTCCTTTATCTGTTTTGTGTTGTGTTATGCCCCCAGTGCCTGGGACAGCACCGGCTACACAGTAGACAATGACTTTGTTTTAATTGAATGAATGGAAAAATGAATGAATGAAGTGGAAGGGACTTCAGGTATAACCTAAGTGTGTTATGACAAATATATAGCACACATACCCCCATGCCCCACTCCGTTTCCATGGCAGACATCACTAATCAATTGTGCCATTTTATCCAGCTGCCTCTTTCCAGGCAGGCACTGTCCAATAATTTGAGTAGTGAGTGAGATGAGCTCCATGAGCTAGCAAAGCTCTAGTTCAAAGTCTCCCACAAGCTGAAGAGGAGACCCAGCCGGGCTCTGAGTGGGGTCACGGGCTACCTAAGGAGCCACAGGGAGCCAGGCCACAGGACTAGATGCCCAGGCTGGGCTCTTCCCAGTAAAATGTGGGACCTCTCTGACAAGGATGGGAGGAGGCAGGAACACGGGTCTGGACTTGAGGCTGGGGTGGGGCACTGGCTTGGAGGCTCCCTGGGCACTGGCTGGGGCAGGAAAGCTGATGCCTGGGACTTTCCTGCAGGTGCCCAGGGGCCGTGGGGATGGCCTGCCTGCCCACATTGGCTCGCTGGTCCAGCGGGCATACTGGGCGCTGCTGAGCCAGCGGAGAGACCAGAGCATCGTGGCCCTAGGCCGGAGTGGCGCTGGGAAGACCACCTGCTGTGAGCAGGTCCTCGAGCACCTGGTGGAGATGGCAGGCAGTGTGGACGGCACAGTCTCAGGTACAGTTGTCTCCAGGTGACACGTAGCGAGGGTGAGGGGAGGAGGGGAGAGTTGGAAAGGGACACTGGGCTGTTCTTCCTTATATCCAGTCAGCTAGCATTCACTGAGCACGTGTGCAGACCCTGTGCTTGCAACTGGCCAGGGCTACCCCAGTTCATTGAACACCTCTGTGCGAATTAGTAAAAGGTACTCCTTCCTCAAGCCATTCACAGCCATCTGTGGCTCATCATACATTGACATTGTCAGAACTATACACTCAACCACCATGTTCTAGAAAATCAACATAATAGTATGCAAACCTAAGACAGTACGATGCAAATAATGTGCCCCTTGGATGTGGTGTCCTTGTGCAGTGCACAACCTGTTGAACTGTACAGGGGACCCATAAGTAATGACAGAAGGGCATGGCCTATGCTCTTGAGGACCTGGCAGCCAGAAGGACTTATGTGCCAAACTTGAATGCTCTGCACAAAGTGCTGGCAGAGCCGGTTAGGGGTGAGGTGGTGGGAGCATGGAGGAGGGGAAAAGGGGCTTCCTGGAGGAAATGGTGTTTGAGCTAGGGCTTAAAGAAAGAGTGCCAGTTTATAATAATAATAATTACAATATTAGTAATGATCACAATCAATAGTGGCTGAGGACTTAGGTGCCAGGCCCTATTCCAAGCAAATTAGCTTATTTGTGATTTAAAACAGCCCCATAAGGTGGATATTGTTTACATTTTATAGATGAGGACATTAAGACTCAGAGAAGTTAACCAGCTTGCCTAGGTCCCCACAGCTACTACATCCTACTGCTGAGATTCAAACTAGGCAGTCTGGCTGTGGAGCTGTAACCCCTGGGTCACTGTTCTCAATTTCTTTTTTCATTTTTGCTCCCCTAAGGAGTCTTAAACATTACCTCTCCTAATCATCCCCCCACCATGAAATTTTAATGCTATAGATATACCATGATCTATTCGTGTATGTATATCTGTGCTCTATACATAAGAAAGTAAAATTGCCCACATCCCCAAAAATCACTTTCTGCCCTCTTGGGGGCACTATTCTCCCTGCCAAGAATACATGGCCTAGGCAATATTGCTTTTCTGGTTGTAATAAATACAATCATACCAACTCCACGTTTGGAGCACGCTCTAAGCACTTGCCATCCTTAAATCTTTTAGTCCCCATGACAACCACATGAGGTAGGTACTGTTGTCATTCCCATCTTACAGAGGGGGTATCTGACCCCCAGGGAGGTTAATTCATTTGTCCCAAATCAGGAAACTAGCAAAGCGGACCACATTCAAAGCTGCTTCCCCACTGGGGTGATTCCAGGGCTTTATTGATTACCTGCTCTACACCTGGGTCACGTTAGGGGCTGGGGATACAGTGTGGGGAGGTGCCAGTCTTTGCTTTCCTAAAATATAGTTCTGCCCTGATTGTGTGTGTTTGAGGGTGGGAGTCAGGGTAGGCTGTACCCTGGTGCCTGGAAGGGTCCTGACGCATAGTAGGTGCTTGATTAATAGTTGTAGGGAGACCAAAGGGCTTTTCAAGCCTGCTGTGTTGGGGAGTTCCCTGAGAGCTGGTGTGTGAACCTTAACGCCTCGCCTTCCTCCTAGGCTCCACCAGGCCCAGGAGATGCTTGGACAGCCCCTGTCACCCAGACTGCCGCAGCCCTGGGCCTGTGTATCTCCACATCTTGACTCAGTCTCGCTTCCCCTACACTTCTGCTTGCAGCAGAGGGCCAGCCTGGTATTGAAATGTGTGGTTTAGAGTTGAGTCGAGGAGGTGGCAGGCAGCTCACCGAGCCCTGGGGCCAGGATGAGGGCTGGCCCCCGGGCAAAGGCTAGTGAGGAAGGTGGTCCTGTGAGAGGTGGGAGCGGTGGCCCCTGGGCCATGGGTGACACCCTGCTGCCTGCCACCCACAGTGGAGAAGATTCGAGCTACCTTCACCATCCTCCGGGCCTTCGGCTCCATGTCCACTGGCCACAGCCGCAATGCTACCCGCTTCACCATGGTCATGTCACTGGACTTCAGTGCCACAGGCCGAGTTACAGCCGCCCAGCTCCAGGTGAGGCCCCTGGGTGGATGGGAGAGGAGGGTCCTTGGGGCTGAAGCGTCTCCAGCCCCTCTTAGCAGAGCCCACGCATCCAGCTGGGACCCTGGAATGTATCTAAACGGTCACGGCTCCCCCAGCCATGGCCAGCTCCTCCCCGCCTCGCTCAGTCCCCCCAGCAAGTCCCCTTCTAGAGCAAGCCAGCCCAGAATACCTCAGAATGTCACGAGGATGAAGTATTCATGAATAAACATATAATTCAGCCACTCATGAGTTGGGGCTTAGAAGCATAAGCTGAAACAGAGGCTGGCCAGCCTTCTGTGGCGGTCGGTGTCTGGCAAACACATGTCTGCTTGTTCCCATCTTCACAGTCACCCGGGCCACTCCCCTCCCCGTGCAAGCATTCTGTTTGAACAGAAAATAGAATTAGGTTATTAGAAGTGTTTTTTGTATGTGGAGCTGGTACAATATGCAGATTCAAGGAAAACTCATCCGTGCCAAATAAGTCCCTTCTCCATCCTGGCCCTGAACCGCACTCGTGACCCTTTCGGTCATGTTACTAAAGGCTCCTATGAAATAAGAATACGTTGGAGGGTGGCTCCAGGTCGTTGTTCCTCCCTTTGGATACCTTAATCGGAGCGAGTCTATTGCATGAGCTGAACCCCTAAATGGACCCTGGGATAGCGAGACAAAGGGCTGATAAGTTTGGATACAAAGGTGTCCAGGGGAGTATGGATCTGAGGTGTTGCTTCAAAGGGTGGGGCAAAGTGGGGCACTCCATCGGGGCCTCCAGGTAGCTGGGCGCCAGACCTGGAGCAGAGGCCCCCCCAGTGCTGACCAGGTGCCTGTCCTCTTCCCTTGCAGACAATGCTTCTGGAGAAGAGCCGTGTGGCACGGCAGCCGGAAGGGGAGGGCAACTTCGAGGTCTTCTCCCAGATGCTAGCGGGTTTGGACCTGGATCTCAGGTGAGCGACTGGGCCAGGTGGGGACAGCTGGGAGCAGTGAGACGAAGGGCACCTGCTCTCCAGGTGCTGAGCCTTAGCTCTGCCAAGAGCTGAGAAGCAGAGGGACCCCGTGGTTAGGAGCCTGGCCTCCAATTCCAGCTGCCTGGTCCTGCTCACGAGTTGGGTAACTTTGGCTAAGTCTCATCCACTCTGAACCTCGGTTTCTTCCTCTGTAAAGTGGAAATAATCCCTTGGCTGACCTTACAGGATAAAGTGAGATAGTTTACATATAGCTCTTTATAAATGCTGGGAGGCGGTGGAGGCTGTCTGCTGTGATAGTGGCGTGTCAGTACGGAGCTGACAGCCGCATGGGAGGAGGACAAGGAACAGCAGACCCCAAGTCTTCCAGGGGTTCCTAAACGTGTGGCAGCTTTGAATGCACATGAGTTTGCCTGCTGGGACACCTTGGGACAAGCTACCAGCAGGGTAGCCAGGCGAGACTCATTTTGAAGGGCCTTCTGGGGCACGTGCCCCCAGGTCCTGACCGATGTGTAAAGGGCTGACTTTAGAGTCAGAGGGACTTGTGTTTAGATCTGGGCTTTGCCCCATGTGGCCCTCTTTGAACCTCAGTGTCGCTTTTTGTAGAATGGGTACCCACTAATGCCAGCCTGTGGGCATTAAAAACCAGGTCACATGTCAAGGCAGCAGGTACCACGTGCGGTACATAGTAGGGGGGTATAGCGTGGGAGACCACCGTACATAAACTCTGCATGTGGAGCTTGCATCCTGCTCTCCAGCTCCGTGGCTTCAGGTGAGAGGCTACCTGTCCGGGGGCCTCCATTTCCTCGTCTCTCAGAATACTGGAGGGCAGGCGCCTCTCCCCGGTGACCCTGACATGGGGGTCATCTGTTCTGTATCCCTAAGATGGGGTTTGGTTCTGAGCTTGGAGTCATTGCCTGCTGAAGGGGGTCCGTTGGGGGCTCCCCGTGGGATGAGCACAGGAAGGCTGAGGGTGGGCTGCTGGTGGCAGAGGTTTCCAGGCCCCCGCGCTAGGCCTGGCCCAGGCCAGGGGCTCTGTCTCAATGAGCCTGACCGGGCAAGTGGGGCATCCTTAGGAGCCTGGACAAAGCTGTGTCTGAGATGATGGGGCTGCCCCACATGAATTTCAGGGGCCCCAGGAAAGTGGAGAAAGGTGCCTGGAACAACTCAGACTCCTCAGGGGGTAAGGGTCATGCGGGGGGCTCCCCAGGGATCTCCCAGGCCATCTCCCTTTCTTGACCTCTGGGGCTGCCAGGCGGTTCCCTCATGTACAGTGAAGCTTCAAAAGACAAAAACTGGCTCCCACTTCCACATGTATTCTTCCTTTTTCTCATGTATTCATGTGGGAAACTCCTATTCATCTTTCAAAACCCTGCTCAGAATCCCTTCTTTAGCAGAGTGCTGCCTGAATTCTGCTCCCTTCATTTCTCTTTTATACTATGCTGGTTCAGCACCCGCCACACTGGAGTATATGTGTCTCTCTTTCTCACCAGACTTACTGTGAGATCCTTGAATGAGGGGCCCTGCCTTACTCCTCTGTGTCTTCCTAGTACTTAACATATGAGGTGTGATAGAAAGATACGGTGAATGTTTAAATTAAAAAATGTATTACAGTAAAAGACACATTGCTATTAACCCCCCTCTTCTGTGAGTGTATTCCTTTATCCTCTATTATGCAACGCTCCATGTCACATATCACTTCTGGTATAGCAAGTTCTTTTTCTTTTTGTTTTTTCACCAGCTGAGCCATCCTGCCACCTGTTGGCAGCTCAGCTCGGGGTGCTGCGTCACTGGCCCATGTGGGAATCGAACTGGCGACCCTGTTGCTCAGAGCTCACACTCTTGAGCAAGCTCTTAACCAACTGAGCCACTCGGTCAGCCCCATCGTACAGCAATTTCTGCCAAATAAAAACATTACAGTGTGTCCTCAGCCACCTTATTCACCGGATCTGGCACTGTGCGACTTCTGGCTCTTCCCCAAAGTCAAAATGATTCAGGACATTGAGGCAGCCACAACAGCGCAAGTAAAGATACTCATGAATGAGGACTTCCAGAACTGCTTCAGAAAGTGGCAAGAACAATGGGATAAGTGTGTTTGAAGCAAGAGGAAGTATTTTGAGGCGGTTAATGGCAATGTGTCTTTTACTATAATAATTTTTTTTTTAATTTAAACATTCACCGTATTGTTTGATCACATTTTGTAGGGCTTGGCACAGGGTAGATGCTCCTTAATTATTTGTCAAGTTTAACTTCCAACTGATGAACTACAGACCAGGTCAAGTGCAAGGGAAATGAATATAGAGCACCTACTCTGTGCTGGGCTGTTTCTATATAATAGGTGTTCATATATAATATCTCATTCAATCCTGTGAGGCAAGTGTTAGAATGCCCATTTATGAGTAAAAGGGAGTTTCAGGGAGAGAACTACCATGTCTCCTAACTGGCTTGGCTGGGATTGGACTCCAAGTCTTTCTGACAAGGCTCCTTCTAGGGTAGGAGACAGAGGCCAGGGATGTGGGGTCTGCAGAGAACCAAAGGAGAAGGCACTAACAGACCCAGAGCTGCAGAAACTGCCTGGGGCCTCGTGCGCGAGTGCCACTTTCCAGGAGCCAATTTGAGCCGTGATGGAGGGTGTGAGGGTCTGAGGCTGGACTCTGATGCCTTTGTGAGTGGAGTGTGTGTGGACAGGGGCAAGGGCATGGCTGTGCCTCCAACTCCCCCTTTGCTTGAATTCCTCGGGCCTGCAGGGTTGTGCAGCCCATCTTAAGCAACCCTCCCCCCGCCCCGCCCCTTAAGGAACCTGCAGTTTAAACACTAGAAGGGGCCTGAAACATTATGTCATTTTATAGGGTGAAGACAGAGGCCTGGGGAGGGGGCGGGTGGCAGGACAGCTCTATGTCTGCTAGCTGTGTGGGCAAGGTGTTAACTCTCATTGCCTCTATCTTGTCATCTGTAAAATGGGAATAATATTTGTACCCACTGAGTGGGGCTGTCATGAGTAACCTTAGAACTCAGCATAGAGCAAGGGCTCATTCAAGTTAACTGGTCTAAAGTATTATCAGCGAGCAAGTTCACACATCCAGTTAGTAGAAGACCTGGAGTTAGAGCCTGCTCCCTCGCTTTTAGTTCATGGCTCTTTCGTCCAGGGTTCCCTGGTACTTAGGAAGGACGGGGTGAGAGGTCAGTCAGTGAGGAATTTTCGGGAGGTGGGACCAGGGCCTGGGGTAGCCACTGGGGCCATGTGGAGCATCGTGGGGAGCCCCACGCCAGGATGACCACCTGCCCTGCCAGGCCACTGGTGTGGGTGGGGTGGGCCCTCCCTCCCTTACTCCTTGTCCATTCTCTGCTTTCAGGACAGAACTGTACCTGCACCAGATGGCAGACAGCAGCTCTTTCGGCATGGGCATTTGGCCTAAGGTAAGGGGCAGATTTTTATAGGGTGTGTGTGGCTGTCTGGGACCCTGTGGTCAGGATGGGAGGGTGACGGAGGGGTCCCCTTTGCCACTAGGGTTCGTAGTTGGCAAGGGCTGGTCATGTGGGAGAGACACATGAAACTTGTCAAGAAATGAGACTTGTACAAATAAAGAAGCAGGAGGTGGAATACATAGAGGTAACTGCATGGTCTCTGGCAATAGGTTATCTGAGGTCAAATCCCAGCTCTGACACTTACTGAACATGTGACCTCAGGCATAGAACCTGACCTCTCAGGACATCTGTGTCCCCTTTGGTAAAACAATGATGGGAGTTGTATCTGCCTAATGGGGTTGTTGTGAGGATTAAATGAAATGATGTGCATAAAGCACTTAGCACAGGGCTTGGCCTAAATCAACCAGTCAGGCACTCTCAGTAAATATTATTGATGAGTGATGTGGATTGGACCTTGAGAGATGGTATTCAATTATTTAAAAAAGCAAATTGTTCACTTGTTTATTCTTTATTCATTTGTTTATATTTAACAACTGTTTGCTGAGTTCCTCCCTCCACACACACACACCTGTGGAAGACTCGTGATAAGTGCTGGGATTATGGTCCTCACCCATGATTTTTTGCTCTAGCAGGAGAGACAGACATGGGAATTAATGTAAGCATGTGGGATAAGAATATGCCAAAGGTTGCACAGGATGCTGTGGAGACCAGAGCATAGTTGAAAGAACTACTTGGCTTCAGTCAGGGAAGGCTTCCTAGTCAAGGGAACATTTGACCTGGGTTTTGAAGGATGAGTAGGAGTTCACCAGGTAAAGGGGCATGGTTAACTTCCACACCAAAGCCTTTTCCCAAACATGCATGTCTGGGGAACAAATGGTGCTTGAATAATTGGAAATCCTCATGCAAAAAAATGAATTTCAATCCACAGCCTCATATTAATGAAAATGAACAAAAAATGGATCATAGACCTAAATGTAAAACTTAAAACCATAACACTTCTAAAAGAAACTAGGAGAAAAATTTCTGTAACCCTATGCTGGGCAAAAATTTCTTAGATGTGAAACCAAGTCCATAAGAGAACAAATTGAGAAGTTGGTTAGAGCACGCACTCTTAACCTCAAGTTTGTCAGTTCTTTCCTGCATGGGATGGTGAGCTGCGCCCTCTCCCGCAGCTAGATTGAAGGACAATGACTTGACTTGGAGCTGATGGGTCCTGGAAAAAACACAGTTACACAATAAAAAATTAAAAAGAAAATAATGGACAAAGGATTGTAACATACACTTCACCAAAGAAGATATATGGATGGCAAACGAGCACATGAAAAAACGCACACCATCACTCATCATTAAAGGAATTCAACCTAAAGCCACAACACCATGCCCATTACCCAATCACTAGGCTATATATTGAATACATTAAAAAATACTGAACATACCAAGTGCTGGTGAGACTTTGGAGTAACTGGAATTCTCACACGCTGCTGGTGGGAATGTAAAATAGTACAGTCATTTTGGAAAAAACTGTTTCTTAATAAAGTTAAACATACACCTCCCATATGACACAGTATTCCACTCCTGGGAATTTACGCCGAAGAATGACAGTGTATGTCCATACAAAAACTTTTTGCATGGAATTTCATAGCAGTTTTATTTCTAATAGCCCAAACCTGGAAACTACCCAAATGCCCATTAACAGGTGAATGGATGAATACATTTTGGAATATCCATAAAGATAATATACTATTCAGCAATAAAAATGAATGAACTAGTGCTATATCCAAGAACACAATCACTCTCAAAATAATTACACTGAGTGAAAAATATCAGATGAGAGCGAGAACACTGTATGATCCCATGGACTCGTATGTGAAAGCCTAGAGAATAGGTCGCTCGTTGCCTGGGGGCAAGAAGAGGGGAGAAAGGATTATAAAAGGGAGCTTTTGGGGGTGAGGGATATGTCCATTGTCTTTATTGAGGTGATGGTTTCACAGGTGTATATGTCAAAGTGTATCAAATTTACAGTTTAAAGACGAGTAGTTTATTCTTCGTCAATTATACCTCAATAAAGCTGTTACACACACATTCTGCTGGGTGCCGTCCACTGTTGCTCACCCAGCAGTTCTGGGGTGGGTCAGGATTGTGCATTTCTCACAAGTTCTCAGGTGTTGCAGAGGCTGCTGGTCCAGGGACCCCATTTTGAGAACCACTGCCATCGAGTCTGTTTCTGCAGTGGGTGGGGTGGGATGGAGTGAGGCGATGGGGCTCCACATGTTTAAATTTTAGCACGCTTCTCCTACTTGATGCCCCCTTCATTTGGCGGTGGGCGGGAGCTGCAGTATGTTCTTTTTTCATATCCTTTCTCCCCGTGATTGGTGGTGGGGAGGGGTGTTAGGAGCTCAGATCTCCACCTCCAGGGCAAAGGATGAGCTGCTATCCCAGCCCTGGGTTTTCTTGTTCATTTAATGAGTTTTGGCCAAGTGGGTCCATGTGAATCAGCAAGTGGTGGTTGTTTGTTTTCCTGTTGTTTTTGAAGAGGCAAAGGGCCCACGCCTGGCCCTGAGAGCTCTCCCCAGCCTGACCTGTTTGTTCGCAGTCTGCGTACAGGAACTGGTCACAGCATGAATCGTGTCAAGGAGGCGTCTGAAGTAGTTCTCTTTTTCTTCCCCTGTATTTCTTGGGGGTTGTTTTTTTAGACCAACTGATCTGTGGGAACTAGTGGGGTGTTCCTTTGTTCTCGCTTTGAAACCTGGCAGGGGTGAGAGGCAGTTTTCTGTTTCCTAAAACAAAAATAAAGTCTGAAAACTCTTGGTCTTTGACACAAGCCTGGACTGGTTTTTCTGGGACTGGGGAGTCCAGGTACAGTCTCAGTAAGGGAATTGGGGGGGTCAGGAAATGCCCCCCCCAAGAATGGGAGTTGCCAAGTACAGCCCTCCAAGTTGCCAGATTCAGCAAATGAAAATACAGGATGCCCAGAACATACCCATTTTATACCTGATCTAATCATGTATAGAATGGTGACTGTAGTTAATAATACTGTATTGATTGGCTACTTGAAATTTCCTAGGAGAGTAGATCTTAAATGCTCTTACCACACACACAAAAATGGTAACTATGTGAGGGGATGGACGGGTTAATTAACTAGATTGTGGTAATCATTGCACAACGTCTATGCATATCAAATCATCACATTGTACCCCTAAAATATATATAATTTTTGTTTGTCAATTATAACTCAATAAAGCTGGAAAAGGGCAGGATGCCCAGTTAAATTTGAATTTCAGAAAAATATCAAACAGTTTTTAGTATATAAGTATGTCCCCAGTATTGCAACGGGCAGGCTTGGAGGGTTGGAATCATACCGGAGAAGGCTGCTTGGAGGAGGTGAGCATGACTGGGCCTGGACTGAGAGTCACATTAGACAGGTGCAGGGAGGCCAGCGTTCCTCCTACACCAAACATTGTACAGGAAACCTACTGATACTAAAAGCGTATCCATTGTTTATCTGAAATGGAGATTTAACTAGATGGCCTGCGTTTTATCTGGCAATCCTACAGCCCAGAGTCATCTCTGGCTGGGTCCTCTTCTTCCTCCTCCCTGCCAGCCCCTCCGACTCTGGTTAGCTCTGCTTCTATTTCATTGGTTCTATCATCTCCTGAGAATTCGCCAAGGACAGTGGTTAAGAAATGGGTTCTGGAGTCTGACATACCCAAGTTCAAATCCCAATGCCAGCACTTCGGCTGGGTGGGTGGCTTTAAGCCAAGTGACTTCACTTCCCTGGGCCTCCGTTTCATCAGTTGTAAAACTGGGATGATTATAGTCTGCTCTGCTCCCATTAACTATTTGGAAAGTGCCTGGAATTTAATCAACGTCAGCTTTTATTATTATTGCTATTGTTATTTATTCAGTATTCTGCTGGATGGCAGCATTGGACCATTGGGTGGGGCAAGGCCTCAATGGCCCACGAGACTCCAATCCACACTCCTTGGTGGTACACACCATGTTTTTTCTCTTACTGGCTTTATCTCTTTTCTCCTCTAGTTTATTTTTTAATGAAACATTGATTTTTAAAAACTTAAATTAATACTTACTTTCTGTGAAAAAAAATCAGAAGGAAACATACATACAACATAAAAACCAAAACGCTCACACAACCAAAAAACAGGCACCCGTTCCCTCACCCCCCAGAGACATCCATTGGTAACGTTTTTGCAGATTTCCTCTCAGTATTTTTCCTGTGAATATTTTATGTAGTTTATAACGAGCTGTATGTCATTAAAACTTTCACAGACAATATTTTTAATGACTAGACAGTCACGGCGGCGCCGTGATTTTCTGATGATTTCCCTAATGTGGTCCGTTTTCAAAAAGCTTCTAAACCCTTTCTGTAGTTCTGAACGATGCGGTGGTGACCATCTTGAGGCCTCAGCAGCAGCGTTCCCACCCCCGGCCCCCAGCCCTCTGTCCAAGGAGAGGCCTCCTGTTATGCTCTCCTTTTATGACCTCGGTAACAATCACTCATCCAGCATTGCTGCTTGTTGACTTACAGTCAGCCTCCCCTCAGGCCCTCAGTTCGCGAGGATGGAGGGGCTTCTGTGTCCCGTTCACTGCTGAACATACAAGGCCAGCGCTGAGCCAGGCACACACGGGGTGCTTTGTTGAGTGAACAAACGAACGAGCATGCCCCACTCACCAGGACTGGCTAAAATCATACCTTTTCAATTTTCTAAACTTTTCTACTGCGGTGGGCAGAGCTATGTTTATTACACTTCAATTGATCCCTAAGTGTCTTTGAAGGCGTTTCCTAGGGCTTTGTAGATCTTGTGAGGTCTTTGGATCCATTGCCTGTGTCCTGGGAGCCGGAGCAGTTCTGGGAATAACACAGGACCCTGAGGGAGGGGATGAGAAGGCTTGCGCTCTCATCCCTCAGCCAACCTGGGCATCTGGGGTCCATGCACCCAGGGTTGGGGCACTGTGGGCCTGGCTTAGTGAGT